CGAAAGCCACAGACCCTCCCAACAACAACCACCGTCGGATAACCCGACCTCGAACATGAAACAAGAAACTCCAGACCAAAGCCGGCTAACCCGAACCCGCCCGAAATCCATCGACCAATCCAACAACAATTGCCATCGAAAAACTCTAGTGGAATGGATGTATTATTCCTATTTGGGTTTGGTAGGTTTGGCCTATAGTCTAATCCTAATAGGAAAAACTCAATTAAATACCTTCTTAGGGTCCATGTTGTAGCCTATAAATACATCACATCTCTTGGGATTTAGAGATTAATATGAGATACACCCCTATTCACGTGAGATGAAAAATGGTCGCCCCCTTGTTCTCTCTTCTCTCTCTTGTGTTCTCTTCTTTTTCTTCATCAAGTAATCCCAGTAGAGATATCTCTGATTTCATCGCCAACCAACATAATCGGAGAAGATGTCGGGTCATACAATAGAAGATCTAAGGTAGTCGAGCGATTTATATATATATTTATCCAACTCGTAGAATATATATATATTCTACCCTGTAATATACCTGTAATACGCGGGGTTACCCGTTCTTCACGAAAAGTAAGAATTATGTTACTCGGACGTATTGGAAACGACTAGCGACCATACAACGACGTCTGGTGACCCTCCAATCACTTTACGACGATTACCGTCCAAAGCAGCCGGGCAGGTGAGCCACTGCCGCGCACATGCGCTGGCCAGCAGCCGCTGGGTCGTAGCCCAGCCTGTGTGATGAATCGTGCGTGGCCCAGGGGAGCAATCCAATCCGCCGGCGTGCAGCTCAGCATGATGAAGCCCGCGTCGCGCGCGGATTAAGTGACGAGGAGGCCTAACTCCATGTGAAGCCCAGCGGGCGAGACTCGGATGGAAGATAAGTGTGTGGGGCCGCATCAACGCACGTCCAGCCCAAGCGCGTCCTGCGTCCCTCACAGCCCTCAGTCCGTGCACCCGAAGACAGCCCGCGTCCTGCACGCGTTGTTTCAGCCAACTTCTGCGTGGCCCAACAGCGTCTCTGCGGCCCAGTGCACGGAAAACCTTGTCCAACATCATCCCATAACGACCCAGCCAGCCCGGTTCACCCCAGAACTCCCCCATCTCACTACAGTCGGCCCAGGACGCGTCCAATAGACCCAGACTGGGTTTGGGAGTAGTCCATCAGGTTCGGGAGAGTACCAGTGAGCTCATGGCAATTCATGGATGATCCATTGGTGATGGCAAAGCTAGTTCCGTTGCCCAATCGACTCTATGTTTCAGACGTCTCCAACAATGAAAATAAGAAACGTCTCAAAGTCGGCAAAAATAGTAAACGGTACGTGTTGATCCTTCGCTTCTAGTTCCATTGTGCTTAGGGTTTAATTCGTAGATAATCGTGATATGCATAATTTCAAGATCCTAACTAGTCCCAACAAATATAAACAAGTTGTATAGAAATTAGAACCACAATCTTGGAAACTCAAAATAAATAAACTTTATAATAATAATAATAATAATAATAATAATAATAATAATAATAATAATAATAATAATAATAATGATCATCATAAATAGTTATTTCTTATCAAGAAAATCTAATGAAATAATTTAAAAAATGTTAAGTCGAATACCAATTATTTTAAAAGTTTCTGTTTGAGAATGCGTTGGGTGGTTTGAAGGGGATCAGAATTCTTAGAGAGGTGGACATGTGCTGACTCATTCACTTTTTGCTGATGAAATCCTACTCTTCCGTAAAGCTGACGGCAATCAAGCTTTTCAGTTGGTGGACGTTCCTGCGAAATATAATGCTTTCTCAGGCCAGAAAATTAACTGGAATAAATCTTCCTTAATTTTTTAGTAAGAATACCAACCAACAGTTCCAAGACAATATTTGTTATATTCTTAATAATATCCAAGTGCACAGCTTCACCAAATATTTGGGTTTGCCCTTGGGCATTGGGACATAAAAAATCCAGGCCTTCTCTTTTTTATGACTGAAGCTGTAAGGGAAAGAATGCAGAGCAGGAAAAACAAGCTTTTGTCTACAACTGGTAAAGAAGTGTTGGTAAAGGCTGTCTTAAATGCTCTTCCTAAATTTGTAATGGCTTGTTCAAACTTCATGTCTCAGTCTGTAAGGAAGTCTCAAATCTTTGTGCGAAATTTTGGTAGACTAGAGGCAGTGAACATGATAGAGGGATTAACTGGATTTCTTAGCAGCAAGTTGCTCTACCTAAGGAGTTGGGTGGGCTCAGTTTTCAGGATATAATATTATTCAATGATGCCATGATTATGAAGCAGCTTTGGAGACTAATGACCATACCTGACCACTTGATGTACAGGGTTCTTAAGGCAAGGTACTTCCTCTCCTCTGACTTCTGTGAGGGAAAAAAATTGGTGGGTGATTCGCGATTTTGGAATTGTTGGATGGATGTCAAATCCAAATTCGATAATGGGATCAGGATGGAACTCTACAATGCACATACTCTCATCAAGGTCTACCCTTGGATTAAAACTCTTGATAAGAAGAGGGTGGCATTTAAAGAGGGGATTCAATCAAATTATGTCTGGGTGAAGACCTTCTTTTGAGTGATGGAAGACCTGGGATGAAGATCTGATCACTTACCTCTTTGCTGAAGTTAGTGTTGTTGCCATCATGAGCTTTAAACAGCTACAACCTGATAGAGAGGACATGTGATATTGGCTTAACTCAAAAAAGAGGTATTTTTTTGTGGCTTCGGCCTATTCTAGTCATATAATGGATAAAGTTAAGAAGCTTGATAGACCTGAAGGTAGTTCTTCCAGAGCCACGAATGATCTGACCAGAGAAAGGATTTGGAAGCTGAAAGTAAAAGGTAAGACAAAACACTTCATTAGAAAATGATTTTCAGGGGCTTTACCAGTCAACAAAAATCTTATCAGGAGAGAGGTGGAAGTAGATCTTGTGTGTCATGTCTGCGCTGAACATGCAGAAACTGTTGAACACATTGTTTGGCAATGCAGTAGGGCCTAATGACGGATTTACTATTGGTCTACGCCTGTTAAATTTTTTTAACAACTATTAAGCTTGAATTTTTTCTTTTTATTTTGTCCCTAGCCACCTAATAAACTAATACATTGGCCCACCAAAATAACTCACAATAAATCCAAATAATACCCTCTATTCTCTAATAAAATATTATATCGGTAGCTCATTTATTCCACTAACTCACAATTACAAAACACGACAATACACAAACACCAATAAAAAAATTCACCCCGTCGATGCCCCTCTGTAAAGTCTGAACAACAGTTTTAGAAGAATTGAACAACAAATTCAACCATGGCCTTGTTCATGCCCCTTGAAGATAATTTAATTTCTTTTTAAGAGTAAGTTATATTTATAAACCCCCTGAGAGGTTGAAGTAGATCTTATGTGTCATGTCTGCGGTGAACATGCAGAAACTGTTGAACACATTGTTTGGCAATGCAGTAGGGCCTAATGGACGGATTTACTATTGGTCTGCATTGGCTGAAGCCCATGCATGTTAAATTTTTTTAACAACTATTAAGCTTGAAATTTTTTTTTATTCTATCCCTAGCCCACCTAATAAATAATACATTGGCCCACCAAAATAACTCATCATAAATCCAAAAAACACCCTCTATTCTCTAATAAAATATTATGTAGGTGACTCATTTATTTCACTAACTCACAAATTACAAAACACCACAATACACAAACACCAATCAAAAAATTCACCCCATCCATGCCCCTCTGTAAAGTCTGAACAACAGTTTTAAACGAATTGAACAACAAATTCAACCATTGTGGCCTTGTCCATGCCCCTTGAAGACAATTTAATTTCTTTTTAAGAGTAAGTTTTATTTTTAAACCCTTTTTAGAATTTAGATATTTGTTGCATTTATTTATCTTCTCATTTTAGTTGACCTATTTAGGATTTTAATAGTAATTGCTATGATTATTAAATTACAATTTTTGTTTTGTTGGTTGTGTATGGATAAGTAAATGTGTGTGTGTCTGTGTGTGTGTGTTTTTTTTTTATCTTTGTAGTTGTTGTATATCATATTTAGATTTAGATTTATGATGTGTAAATATTTCATTTTAATATTTATGTCATTTCATTTGACAAATAATTATGTCATATGAAAAACCTTTTTTTCTTTTTCCGAAACGATAAATATATTAGTAACTAAAAAACTCAAATGAGTACAATAGGAGTGTCAACTGACACACAGGAACCAGAAAAACTGGACCTACCCTCTCGAAAGCACATCTGTGTCCGAGAGGTACAACCTCCATCAAGGAGTCACCCGCACCCACAAAAACTAACCTCCATAAGGAGACTAGAACTCCATAAAGGAGACTGGAACTCCATAAAAGAGACTGGAAGCTAGACGCAACTGGACTTTACCGAACTATTAAAAAACTAAAAGATAAAAACACACACCTAATATACACAACTAGAGTAAAACCTCCCCTAGCCGAACAAACAAACCACACAACCACCTAAACTGACAACCGAGATGCACCCACAATACAAAACCCAAACGAATAACATATCTTGACTCCAAACTCGAAAACTGCAGACACTCAAACCGCCTAGACGAATTATCATTCCAGATCTAGACCCGAAGTAGTTCGGTACTGGTAGAAGATTGGGAAGCCGCCAATATAAATCCAGATGCCTCGAAGCAAAGACCCAAGGAGGCACCTTACCACACGGTCGAGCGGCTGAACCCGGTCAGGCAAACCCGCGGACAGCCTGGACCACTGGCCACCCAGTCGCAAGCCGACACTTCTACAAGGTGAAAAGGTGGAGCACGCGAGGTAGAGCACCGGCATCTCGACGGACTCCTACCGTTGGGCGGGAGGCGGAGGCTGAACAAGCAATCGACGACCACAACCGGAGCTAGGGTAAAAAGGTAGGAGACGAGAACCGCTGTAGACCTAATTCCCACCGGGCTCTGGGATGGGCAAAGAAGATGGCCCCACCTGCCGTCGCGACTCGGCCAAGCCAGGGAAGAAGGCCGACAATGGCTGTTGCCGGCTAAGAGGGGCAAGATCTGTTTTTTCTTCTTTTCTGCCGAGAAGGAAAAAGTAGTGAGAGAAAAGTAAGTTTAGCTTTTCCAAGTATATGTTGTGTGTATGTCATATGGAAAATCAATTTATTGGTATTGTAAAGATAATACTTTGCAATAAGATTTAGGTTGATTTTCTCTAAGTTTTTTATTCTCTTCATCGAACAGGAGTTTACTAATTGTATATGTATAGATTCTATCATTGATGAATTTTATTCTATAAAAGCTCGTCGAGCACAGCTTCAGTGAATAATTGAAAAAAAAAATATTATGTGACTTTTATTAAAGTGAGTATTTAATATTCTACCTCAGTTTACTCTTAATTTATGGATCCGTCCCTGGGCAAAAAGGATTTGGAGATTATCACCTTTGTCTTGGGAGGGTTTCTCCGCTCCTAACTCTTCATTCTTATATTGATGGTGGCAGATTTTGTTCACTAAGCTTTAAAGCAATTGACAATGGCAGGATC